CTACCTTGTTGTATTTTTTAGCTGTTATTTTTAATCTAAGTTATATATAATACTAATATAAGTGTTAATAAAGTAAAATGGTAAATACAATGAAATAGTGCTTCATACAACTGTTCTTTTTATGAAGAACAATTCCTACAATCCCACCCTCTACTTCTTGCTCCCCAGAAATAACCATTTTTAATTCCTTTACCAATTTTGTTTTTTCACCTCTGTATCATTTATGTATTTATGTACTGATCTAGTCTGAGACAAGGTCTTGCTCTGCACGCCAGGCTGGAGTGCAGTGGCAAAATCACCCAGACTCCAGTGATCCTTTTACCCCAGTCTCCTGAGTAGCTGGGAGTACACTTGTGTACAACCATACCTGGCTAATTAAAAAAACTTTTTTTTTTTTTTTTTTTTTTTTTTTAATAAAGATAGGTCTCACTATATTGTTCAGGCTAGTCTCAAATTCCTGGACTCAAGCGATGCTCCCAACCCAGCCTCCCAAAGCGTTGGGATTAGAGGCGTGAGCCACCACAGCTGGCCTTTATCTCTAACTTATCTAGACACTGTTTGATTTCTCTTGAGAATTATTCCAATTTCCCACAATGGAAGATGAAGATTTAGTTGTATTGACCACCACCACCTGCTCCCTCCTCTCCTCATGCAAGCACATCGTTCCTATGCCCCATCTTCTCAATGGGTATTGTGTGATTCTGATTAGATTAATATTCAATAGGCTTACATTATAATGTCTATGTAAATTCTAATCCCAGCTCTGTTATAAGGTTTATCACAACCTTTCTTTCTTTTCCTACACATACTTTGTTTTCCTTTGGGGTTACCAATCATCCTTTTTTGGGGTTAGTTTAGCTTCTATAAAGTTATGACCCAAACTCACACCTAGTTGTAGAAATCTCTCAATTTGTTAAAATACATTAGTCATTCTTCTTCTAATTTTATCTTGTTGAAGAAATCTTTCTGGAACCTTCCAACTTGCTCCCATCTGGGCTTGCTACTACTCTCTGGGTCTGCTATTTAGCAGTGCTATAGTTTTGGGATCTCCCTACATTATTATTATGGGCATCTTTTTGTTTTGCTTTGGATCCTCTATTTCCTAGTTCTCAGGTATTCCTCCTCCTTAGCTTATGTCTTTATTTTTGTACAGCATATTCTCCATTGGATTCCCAGGGTGCATGAGAATAATTTTTTTGAATCTTTAATGTCTAAACATGGCTTTATTTTACCCTCAAAATTAACTACTAGTTTAGCCAGATGTTGAATCTAAGTTAGAAGTAATTTTTTCTCAGAACTTTCAAAGTATTGCTCCATTATCTTGCTTCTGGTGTTGCTACTGAGAAGTCTGTAGCTATTCTAATTCCTCATTCTTTGTTAGAAATCTTTCTTTTCTAACTCTACAAGTCAGTAAGATTCTTTTGTTCACAGATTTCTGAATTTTTTCAGTAATACATCTGAGTGTAGGTTTGTTTTATCTTATGTAGGTAATTCTATGGACTTTTCCTATCTTAAGAATCAGTTATTTTATTAATGGAAAAATTTCTTGAATTGTATTTTCAATATTTCTGTTCTCTGTTCACTCTGAAACTCCTAATTAAATTACTAGGCCACCTCTCTAATTTTCTTATATTTTTCTCTTTTCTATTTGTTTTATATTCTATTCCAGGGGATATTTGCTCAACTTTATCTTCCAATTCTTCTATTGAGTTTTACATTTTAGAAAAATGTATACATTAGAAAAATATAACATTTAGAGAACAAGAAAAAAACTATTAAAATATGACTTTTGTTTTCTTGTTCTGGATAGCCTGTTTCTTCCCAATTGCTATTTTCTGTTTTTGTCTTTCAATATTAAATCCTCTCTTCAAGTATCTGGTGATCCTTGGCTGTCTTGTTCATATAAACAAGTATGAACTAAAAAGCTAAGAGGAAATTCTGTGTTTGAATGGAGCTTGTTAATGGTGGGGTCCACTATAAAGTAACTGGCTGGTTCCTCTGAGCCTAGGGTGATTATGCTTATAGTGTTGTGTGTGTGTGTGTGTGTGTGTGTGTCTCTTGCCTAGAGAAAATCCTTCCAAATCTCCTGCCTGAAAAGCTATCCAAACTGGTACTCTGGGGATGACTGGGGTCTCAAATCTAGCATTTAGTATATTCATTACCCCTTTTCCAGTAGGGTGGTTCACATTGGAGTATACCTGATCTCTCAGGCCACAGATATTCTGTTGTATACTTTTCAGAGAACTAAATTTTCAGTCTTTTGCTAATGTAGGGAAGGGAATCTAATTCCTCTTTCAGAAGCTTCTGACCAGTTGTCATGTCTTCAGTTCTACTTTATCCTCACTTGCAGCTCCTGAGCTTGGGAGAATTTTACAATGTAAATCAAGCTGCTTCTTTTTTTATCTACTGCTGACCTAAGTTTCAGCTTTCTGAGGCTGCTTACTTGTCACCTGTCATCTGTTTTCCAAGTAACAGTATTTTATTGCTATTGTTTTCTCTTTTGTTTTCTTATTCTTTGAGGGTTTATCTTTAACTGCTCTTGTTGTCCCTGCAGTGGAATTTTAGGAGGGAACAGAGTTAACTGCTTGCACTAAAGGTGCCAACTTTAAACTAAAGTTCCTCTCTGCTCTTTTATATACTATAGAATCCCAGTTCCTACATGTTGAAGGGATCCCTAAGAGGGCATGCAGTAAACTCTTTCCTTCAGAGAGCAAACCTGTCTAGGTTACTTACGAATGGAGCTTGGAAGTTGTTTAATGTTGTTTAATTTGCAGATAAGGTGGTTAAAACACCAGAAGTTGAGTGTCTTGCCCTAAGACATACAAAGTCATACAGATAAAGATTGTAATATTCTATTTACTTTAAATAATTATCTCTCAAAGGTTTCACAGTTTATTTTTCTAATTTAGGATAATTTCAGCTATAGCTAGATCATTTTTCTTATTACCTTGGCATTCTCTTCCACTGGGCAGATGAGTTCTTATTAAGACATGAGGTATCAAACTACAGTCATGTGTCACATAATGATGTTTTAATAAATGACAGACCATACATATGATGGTGGTCCTATAAGACTATAATGGAGCTAAAACATTCTATTGTCTAGTGACATCATAGATGTCATAATGTCATAGTGCAATGCATTGTGTGTTTGTGGTGATACAAACCTGTGCTGCCAGTCATATGTAAGTATGGCACATACAATTATGTACAGTTAATAATAATCAATGACCATGTTACTGGTTTACATATTTACTTATACTACTATACTCTTTATCATTATTTTATAATGTACTTCTAGTTATATATATTAAAAAAAGAGTTAACGTTAAAACAGTGTTAGGCAGGTCATTCAGCAAGTATTCTAGAAGAAGGCATTGTTACCACAGAAGATGACAGCTCTAGTGTCACTGCCCCCAAAGACCCTCCAGGGAGACAAAACGTGGAGGTGGAAACAATGATACTGAGGATCCTGACCCTGGGTAGGCCTAACGTGCGTGTCTCCGTTTTTAACAAAAAAGTTTGAAAAGTAAAATAAAGAAATTTTAAAATAGAAAAAAGCTTATAGAAGAAATATTTTTGTACAGCTATAAAATGTATTTGTTTTGAGCTAAATGTTATTACAAAAGAGTCAAAAACTTAAAAAAATTAGAAGTTCATAAAGTAAAAAAGTTACAGTAGGGTAAACTTATTTTGAAGAATTATTTTTTAAATAAATTTAGTGTATCCTAAGTGTACAATGTTTATAAAGTCTACAGTAGTATACAATAATGTCCTAGGCCTTCACATTTACTCACTGCTCAATCACTGACTTGCCCAGTGCCACTTCCAAGCTCCATTCATAAGTGACCTAGACTGGTGTACTGTTTTTTTTTTCCCTGTATACCTTATCTTATATTTTTCTGTATCTTTTATATGTTTAGATACAAAAATACTTATCATTGTCTTATAATTGCCTATAGTATTCAATACAGTACCATGCTATACAGGTTTGTAGCCTAGGAGTAACAGACTATACCATACAGCCTAGGTGTGTAGTGGGCGGTACCATCTAGTTTGTTTAAGTACACTCTATCATGTTTGCACTGTGATGAAATTGCCTAACAACGCATTCCTCAGAATGTATTACTGTTGTTAAGCTATGCATGACTATTATAAAATGTGGTTAAATGTGAAGTTGGCTTATCATAATTTCAGACACAACCAGGTTTTTAAAGCAGTGGATATGCCTTAGATTTTTCCTTTCAAGAAATGTATATAAAAAATTTTACAGGCTGGCTGCAGTGGCTCATGTCTGATCCCAGCACTTGGGGTGGCCGAGGCAGACAGATCACTTGAGCCCAGGAGTTCCAGAGCAGCCTGGCCAAAACCTAAAATGTATTTTTAGGCAAAACCTAAAATGTATTTTTAGTCTCTACTAAAAATACACAAATTAGGCAGGCTTGGTGGCACACACCTGTAATCCCAACTTCTCAGGAGGCTGAGGCATGAGAATCGCTTAAACCCAGGAGGTGGAGGCTGCAGTGAGCTGAGACTGTGAGACTCTGTCTCAAAAAAAAAAGAAGAATTTTACAGAGTATCAAATATAATTTAAATGTAGTTTGTATAGCTTTTTAAATGGTAAATCAATTATTTTTAATTTTCAAGAAATATTTAAAATGGAAAAAACAGCTTGGTTTATTTCATTTCTTTGTTAAATTTTATAAGAAAACACAGGCTTTGACAAAAAGGCATTTGCCGACGGAAAAAAGGACTGGGATTTGGGAAAGATTTAACTTATTTTAAAATTATGCTACTTTTTTTTTTTCCAGTGTAATATAGACTACAACCCTTAAATATTACTAATGTTTAATAATAAAATACTTTTGATAAAATAATTCCTTTTAGTCCATAAAAGTTTTGAGAGCTTTATAAAACTACACACTAACAGAGCTTTCATAAATGCAGCTCTCTATAGAGGAAAATGAAGAATGAAGAGAAAACTCTCCTTAAATACTTACAGATTCTTTTCTGCCCATAGTTTTGCTGTGTGAGCGGGAACGAGAGATGTTGCTAAAAAAGGAATCTTTTTTAGTAGCAGATGAAGGTGGAGAGCCAGTGAATTCTCTTCCTCCAGGCAAACTCTCAACACTTGGAGATGAACTGATGTTTTTAGAACTTTGCCCTGTAAGAAAAATTAAGTAGCAATAATGTAACACCAGACTCTTTCACTAAGCTATTGAACCTACTGCATTTAATAAATGATAATCAGTTATAATACCACTAGGTTGATACTATCAACAAGATGACACTATGAAGTATTAAAATGCATGCATTTTTATGTATCAAAATAGCCACTAGTTTTTTAAAAAACGGCAAAGTATCTACCACTATAGTTTTCTATGTTATTTATACTACAATTATCCAAGCATTGCACACATCAAAAAAGAACTAAAAAAATAAAAATAAAAATGTCAGTAAACAATGGTTAAATGACTAGGTTTTCTTCACTAAAGGAATCATCCCTTAATTATAGAAATCAGAATCTATTATACTGTACTTTATATTAGCAAGATTAAAACATGCAAATCCTTGGCCAAAGTTTTTCAAAAGTGCATCTCTCTTCTTCCCTCTGGTAGGGGGAAGGTGTCACTGAGAATTCAGAATATTAAGATTTTGGCAAAAACCTGAAGAAGGTGAAGTACCTGCTTTGCAGAAAATATGCAAGAACAGCAAGTACTAAGGCCCTCATGCAGTGTTCAAGGAGATCACAAAGTGACCAGTAGCTGGAGCTAAGAGTGAGGAGAAGGGTGAGAGACGAGGTTTGGGGGCAAGCAGGAGATCAGAACAGGCAGGGATTTGTAGACGATTGTGATTACTTTTACTCTGAGAAGGGAAGGTATGGGATGGCATGAGAGCGTTTGAGGAGAGGAGTGACATGATTTGACTTACATTTTAAAAGGATTACTCTGGCTATTGTGTTGAGAACAGAATCAGAGTTGGAAAAGCAAGGGTGAGTCCGGTGGAACAAAGGCAAAAGCAGAGGAGTCAATTTTTGTTCCGGCAAAAATGTAAGTACTCAGAATGGTCATAGCTTGGTAGTGACAGCTGGTCACATTTTGGACAAAACTGGATTTACTGATGAACCCACTAGGAGTATGAGAGAAAGAGAATAGTAAAGTTTAACTTCCAATTTTTAGCCTAAGCAAGAAAAATGATGGAGCCGCTATTATTGAGGTGAGGAAAGCGAAGGGAAGCAGGTTTTAGGAATAAGATCAGCAGTTTAGTTTTAGACCTGCCGAGTCTATGGTGCCTAGTCAGATATCCAAGTAGAGATATCATATAAGCAGTGGGAAATGAGTCTAGATTTCAGGGAAGAGATGTGAGTTAGAGATATAAATTTTGAAGTAAGTACCATAGAGACTGTATTTAAAACCATGATGTTATCAATGGAGAAGGGATAGAGAGAAAGGGATTTAGGCCCGTAGATTGGCCCCTTAGAAACGTTTAAGTTTAAAAGTCAGAGATATCACAAGAAAGCAGCAAAGCTGACTGAGAAGCAGCAGCCAGAGGTAGGAAGAAAATCAAGTAGATAATAATAGATATTGTATAGACTAACCTTCCCCAAATTGGGTCAAAAATTGTTACAATAGTTAGAATAGTTATTATCTACTCCCAATCCCTGGCAGTTCCTGATTGTCCCTGATTTCAAGACAATTTTATTATACTGAAGCTTCCTCTGTATTAAACATCAGGGATTCAGATTAAGTTTCTGTTCTCCCAGAGTACAGAACCTAGGGGTAAAGGAGGTAAATGATAAACCAAGAATGCTAACAAGAATGTTACCTTTCTTAGGAGAGAGCTATTACCTCTTCTGTAGATAGGAGACAGTCAAGCCACATTTCACAAGGAAGTGTGGCAGGTTTGGAGGGCTGATGTATCCCTGTTTAAGGAAATATTTGTGACTTCAAGAAAGATGGTTAGCCGATAGCCTCTAGCTATTAGATTGCTCAGGATCTGCCTCAGGTTTTGAACTAGATCATGCTCTTCTCAGGGTGGTTCCCAGCTAGTGACTAGGAATAAAAGGTCTATCCATTTCCAGTCAACACAGGACTCCTCTAATAGGAAATCTTGGCTGCAGAGTTCCCTGCTGAGCTGGCAGACTTGTTAGGTCCGCATCATGGTCTGTCCCCATCCCTCTGACCAACTCTAATGCCTCCTCTTTTATTTTCACATGTTATTCCCCCAATAAACTTTCTGTATGTCTAATTCCATCTCAGGGTCTGCTTCCTGAAGAATTCAACCTGTAATGCAAGATATTGGAGCTCAGCCTTGAAGGACTCCTGAAGTTAGGAAAGAGTAGAGAACCGGCCCCAAGGCCTAGAAGTATCCTATGCTTACTTCAGGCCTAGACTATGAAAATTTCACCTAGGCCTTTATTTCTTCCCTTCTCTGCCTCCATGTTTGCCATTCACCACCAGGACTTTAGGCTTTAACTTCTCTGGGTTACCTTTTCATGGTAGTAATCTTAATAGCACAGGGTCCTAGAATATTAGAAGTGAAAAAGATCTCAAGAACCATTTTCTCTTTTTAAAATTATCCCAATGATATGCAAATACACTTTCATTATAAATAAACTGTGAATATAACACTTAGAGATATAATTCATATGTCATAACATTCACCTTTTAAAATAACACAAATCTGTGTTTTTTAAAGTACATTTACAGAGATGCATGACCACCACTATCTACTTTTAGAACAACTTAATCACCCAGAAAAGAAAACTCATGGCCATTAGTTATTTCCAATATGCCCTTTTTTCCCGTAGTCCTTGGAATCACAATCTACTTCTGGCTCTATGAATTCACCTTTTCCAGATATGTCATATAAATGGAATGAAACTATATGTGGTCTTCTGTGACTGGCTTCTCTTGGGACAGTGCTTGAAAGTTCATCTGTGTTCTAGCATGTATTAGCACTTCATTACTTTACATTGCCAAATAATATTCCACTGTATGTGTATACCACATGTGGTTTATGTACTCATCAGCTGATGAACATTTAGCTTATACCCATTTTTGGCTATTATGAATAATGCTGCTATAAATATTCCTGTATAAGATTTAATATGGATATATGTCTCCCTTTGTGTCAGGTAGATATTTCGAAGTGGAACTGGTGGGTCAATATGGTAACTCTGCATTTAGCAGTTTCAGAAACTGCCACAGTTTTCAAAAGTGACTACACCATTTTTACATTTCCACCAGTACTGCATAAGGGTTCCAATTTCTCCACATGCTTGTCAACACTTACCATCAGCTATCTTTTTCATTTCAGCCATTCTAGTGAGTGTGAGATAGTGTCTCATTGTGATTTTGATTTGCAATTTTCCAGTGACTCATGATATTTAGCATGGTTTTCAGGTGCTTATTAGACACTCATCTTCTTCAGATAAATGTTTATTCAAATTTTTTGCCCATTTAAAAAATTGGGGTATTTGCCTTTTTATTTTTGAGTTTTAAGTGTCCTTCATGTGTTCTGGGTGCAAGTTCCTTATCAAATATATGATTTGCAAAAACTTCTTCTGTTATATGCATGTCTTTTCACTTTCTTAATGATATCCTTTGAAGCCCAAAACTACTTAATTGGATGAAGTCTCATCTACCTATTTTTTCTTTTGTTGCTTGTACTTATGGTGTCATATCTAAGAAACCACTCCCCAAACTGAGGTCATGAAGATTTACTCACGTTTTCTTCTAAGAGTGTTATAACTCCTGCATTTAATTCTATGACTTGAGTTAATTTTTGTACACAGTATGAAGTAGTAGCTCAAGTTCATTCTTCTGCATGTGGATATCCAGTTATCCCAGAACTATTTGTAAAAAAGACTACTCTTCCCACAAAAATATTCTTGGCACCTGTGGTGAATATCAACTTATCATAATCTCAACTGTACTCCATTTACATATGATGATCTTTTTGTGAGTATCACATTGTTTTGATTAAAATACTATTAACAAGTTTTGATATCAAGACACGTGAGTTCTCCAGCTTTGTTCTCTTTCAAGGTTGTTTTGGCTACTGGAGGTACTTTGGATTTCCATATGAATTTTAGGATCAGTTTGCCAATTTCTCCAAAAAATACATCTGGGATTTTGATAGGGATTACAGTGAATATAAAAGAGAAAAATGGGCATCTCATTCTCCGGATTTTCCTTTTCAGTTTTTGGCTAGCCTCTGATTTTCCTGTTAAATTTTTGGCTAGCATGTTGTTTTCTCCAACTGGTAATGCTGCCTTAGGCAGCTGTAATGTTTAATAATTCCAATGATTTCAACATACACTTAAGGATAGGGTTTCTAAGCAGGGTCTGAATAAGGTCAACTAGAGACAAGCCCTATGAGTGGGCTCTGGGGAGCTGCTGGACATGTCAAATGGTGACAATTCACTGGGAATAGAATGTTTAGGGTACTCCAGATACATTCGGCCTCCTGCTGTAGTTATAAGGTTACTAGTTTTCAAAGCTACTGTAGAGTTGAAAAGAGGTGATGAGAACAGGGAAAGCTAACATGCCATAAAACTCACTGTTCTTACTAAGATTCAGCCATTATTCCTTTGGTTAACTTCCGGAATTCTGAAAAAGTTGATTTTGATAATTTTTGTCACTGTTCTTAACGATTTTATGGAGGAACAGATTTTCAGGGGTCCTTGCCATTCTACTCCGCAAGTGCTTCTCTCTGCTGACTTGCTTTCTGAACCTACCTTGATCTTGGAAATCTATGTTATACGTCCTCTTTTTAAGAGCTGTAAGGAAAAATTTTTGTAGCACTCTTGAGTAGTCATTTAGGTTTCTTCTAATGTTTTGCTATTCCAAACAAAACATCAATTAATATTTTAAAAAGGTACATCTTTAGGCACAAACAACATGCTAGCCAAAAATTTAACAGGAAAATCAGAGGCTAGCCAAAAACTGAAAAGGAAAATCTGGGGAATGAGATGTCCATAAGGGGCTTTGAAAAGTTCCAACACATTCCTGGGATTCTAAAAGACCACGCATGTGTACATTATTGTGCACACATCCAGGGAAGACTTGAGAAGGGGATAATCTCTCTCAACTCTGAGTGGAGAGAGATTCTACAAGGTAGAATTATGTAAGTGGAACTGCTACGTATAACTAAATGCAC